TCATAATATGTTTTATTTGCCAAAAAATATTTTATTTGTCAGGATGTGTTCTGTTATGTATATGTAAGCTTTTTTGAAAATTTCTAATATATAAAAATATTTCATATTGTTTCATAATGGAAATCAATGGGAATGATGGGCTCATACCGCAGAAAAGGAGTCCCACCGTTACCGTTTACCGTCACAGCCTATTTAGGTCCATTGCTGAACATTGAGCTTCCCAATAGATTTCGTCATAGGTATATTTGCCATAGTTGCCACGCTCGGCAAATGGGTTGGCAACCGCAGTATTTTTAAATTCTTTTTTAGGAAGACGCTGATGACATCTCTTGATTTGTTAATTTGTTACGACACCCACAGGATGATATGGGGTAGTAATTATTCTTACTCCGCCAGTTTAGTGGTCTACATTATGTTTATTAATTTTATTATTCAAAATAATGCATATAATAAGCCTATAAATTCTGTTGCGATAATTAGTATAAGATATTTACTTTATTACGTGAAGAATAATATTTTGTCAAAATAATTATAAAATTTTATATTTATACTAGCTGACTCGGCAGATATTGCTCTGCTTATTGTGAGTTTCTCTCTAGTTTATTAGTGTCTAAAAAATTATTAATAACTTTACAGTTTACTCCAGATTTTGTGATTTTTATTTTTGGTTCTAAATCATCATAATATTTATTGTAAATATGACACGCACAATACGACACGCACACAAAGCGCTTGCTGTTAATTTCACAGTACGCGAGCAACCCAAGTTCGATCCTCGCCGTCACCAATCAAATTTATAATTGCTATTTAAATGCTGATTTACCAAGTAAATGTGGCGGTGAGGGAAAACATTGTGAGTTAGTTTCAATGTGTGAGCCATAAAAATATTTTATAGAAATGTGAAGTCTACTAACACGCATTTCGGCAGTACGGCGGACATTCTCAAACCTTAAAAACAACTCAGACATCTGCCCAACTGTGGGACGACTGTCACTTTATTTTTATGACTCTTTGTTTTTTTATATAGTATAAGGGTGACAAACGAGCACACAGTTCACATTTTTAACCTCGCTTAAGAAACAAAATGCAGATGCGTTGTCACCCTTGAGGATTGAGATGGAATGCCTCGATTCCAGTAAAATGGGTCTCCGGTTCTCTACACTCACCATACGAAACACAGCTGTATTAAGCTGCTATTTTACGCTGCTATTCTGTGAGAGCGTGGTCCTTCCCCGGTTCGAGCCAACCCATTCAATCTACAATCATAGTAGCTACAGTGTGGCTCTACTACGTTGTAAATCTTTGTGTTCGTAAATATATAATTTTAAATAACTTGTCAACATAGCCACCTGTTCGGATCCTAGTAGCTATGATCCATCGTCTCGACAAAACAAATCCTCAATCAGTTCAGTTCTACAGAAGCTATCACATCACTAACAGACGCAATGGTCACAGAAGTGATAATAATGACGTATTATTATAATATAATTATGCTTTTTACATTTCTACACTAGCCTTTAAAATATTTTAATTTATTTCGGCTTAACTAATGAATGATTATAAGCTATAGGCGCTGAGTCCGTCATAGCCATACTAGTTTTCCGTATGGATATTGTTTTAATAAATAAAATTTTGACGTAATATCTAAAAAATTTTAACGTTTTGAGGGCCGTAGAGGCCAATTTTGCATTTTGAAAGATTTATTTTTATGACTAATAATTATGTTTTTCATAAATAATTATGGCGCATTCACCGTACAAATGCAGCTTTATGCATATGTTTTACGTTCGTTTCCTGTAGGATCTTTCTCCGTTCGAGCCGATCAATTCATGCTAAAGCCCTAATACATTTGAAGCTTAATTCCATTTTCAAAATTAATACAATACTTGCTATTTTCGTTTTGTAAATTATAATTATAATAGACAAAACTCACAAAATCGGTATCAATTATTATAATTCTGATTTTTTTAAGAAAACGGACCCTGCGAAGCTTCGTTTATCAGTTCGTAGGTTAGTGAAATTTTCGTCTCGAATTTTTCCAAATGAAATGTAGATATTGTCACCATATCTATTTCAATCGACATTATACCTGAATAAGGTTTATACGTGATAGAGCCATGCTGCAATTGTATTAGTTGTATAGTTGTAGCATGAATGGGTCGCCTCGACCGGGGAAGGTACGACGCACTCACAGAATACCAGCGTAAAATAGTAACTTTATGCTGCTGTGTTTCGCAAGGTGAGTGTAGAGAACCGGAGACCCTTTTTACTGAAAACGAGGCATTTCACCTTATTCCTCACGGGTGACAACGCATCTGCATCTGCATTTTGATTCATAATCGAGGATAGATGTAGAAATCTATGGGCCACAGCAACCACTTACCATCAGGTCTGACTGTGACAGGTACGACTGTGTGCTCGTTTATCACCCTATCCTATAAAAAAGTTTTTATGAAAGACGGTTCTGACATATTTTTAAATATAAAATTCCGGTCTGCATATGTTCGTAATTCTTCTCTTCCTAATCGGTATGACCGATTTCGATTAAATTTTTATGGTGGTAGTACTTATGGGGTTACTTAGATAGTTCTTAGCTATAAACCCGGTCGGTGGCACTGTTGTCGAAATCCAGAAACCACCCGTGCAAAGCAGGGGCGTATCACTAATCAACTATAAAAAATGGAAAATTCATAGAGCTAACAAGCCGTATTATATCGCACTCCTTTTTGTACATGTCTAAATACAACTCTATAAAGTGAAAATATATAATAATACTTTAAAAAGCAGTAGAAAAATTAGTTTTCATAGCGCAGTCCGTGCTCTTTGACAAGGACATGAAAATTTGCTCTTTTTTTACTCTTAGAGAAAATTTCATTCAGTTCAAGTAGCATAAAATTTACCTTTGCGATAAAATTTTTAAGCTGTACAAGATATATTTTTCTAGGTATTTCTTACAAAAATATTTTTTTAAGTAAACCATATAATTAATTTAAAAGTAAAATGTAATTTATTTATGATTTATGGTTGAACAAAATATTTAAAAAAAACAAGTAGAGTACATCTATCACTCTGAAACTGATCTCTTCCAGGCATCTTTTGCGTAGAGGACTCGTGCAAACAATGGTTAAAATACGAGTAGTAGGAGTTGTACGAAAAATAATGTAAATAGATATGTATAGAATATTCATACACACACACATAACACACACACACACACACACACACACACACACGCACACACACACACACACACACACACACACACACACACACACACACACACGCCACCACACACACACACACACACACACACACACACACACACACACATATATATATATATATATATATATATATAATAAGTTTAAACAACGTTTAATATGACAAAGTAATTAAATGAGAAGGGTACTAAAAGTTAAATTAATTTGACTAATAGCGGTATATATTAATACGATTAAACAAGACTACTTAGGAGTTAATTAAAAGATAGTTATATTGGAGATAATAATTTTAATTGTTATGATTAACTAATCATAAAAGGGATAAAGTAAGAATCGAACAATATGTCTTATGTTATTTAATGTAGTCATAGCTGCAACGGTTATATGTTTACACTAGCGACCCGCCCTCGCTTCACCTGGGTGGGATCTATTAATACGGCTTTATTTATTTTAAGCTAATAAAAGACCAGGCCAAAATTAAATTTTGCCTAGATCACTCCTGGCAATGATCTCTATATGTTTGTGAAGATCATTAAAATGATCTCTATCTGTTTGTGAATATCATTACAATGATCTCTATCTATTTGTGAAGATCATTACAATGATCTCTATCTGTTTGTGAAGATCATTACAATGATCTCTATCTGATTTTGAAGATCATTACAGTGATCGAAATCTGTTTGTGAAGATCATTACAGTGATCTCTATCTATTTGTGAAGATCATTACAATGATCTTTATCTGTTTGTGAAGATCATTACAATGATCTTATCTGTTTGTGAAGATCAATACAGTGATCTCTATCTGTTTGTGAAGATCATTACAATGATCTTTATCTGTTTGTGAAGATCATTACAGTGATTTCTACCTGTTTGTGAAGATTATTACAATGATCTTTATCTGTTTGTGAAGATCATCACAATCGCTTTAGCCATTCCGAAGATTAGACAGACAAACAGGGAAACATTTTTTTAAATATTCATGTCTTAATGGTATGAAAATAATCTCCTCAGCTCAATATAAGGCAGTTATTTTGATATTCCAGACAGATACTTCAATTTTATTCATATTTATAGTTAGATATATGGATTCTAAAGGCTTAAATGAAATAAAAAGTTTTGTTTAATAATAAAGAATACGAACTATTCTTTAAAAGTAGCAATATCTTAGACCGATTAGTCGCCAGCCTGCATTTTAAGAATTCGAATTAGAACAAGTGGCACGTTTTAATTTTCCACATTTTTATTCCAAGCCAAAGGCAAGCACCTACCCTTTTAATTAAATCTCATTATTTCTTGTCACTTATTTCAAACGAGGATACCCGAGGAAACTGTTTAATTAATCGCATTGAACGTTTGGAACAGTGCAGAGAATTTGAAGTATTACAAGAGCTCTAAAGAAAACAAAAAGATCGACGTTGGAAAATTTACAATCTGTTTTCACGACTGTACATGAAAGTTGCTGTTTAAAATTTATGCATTGCGCAATACGGTCACGAAATAAATATTTTTATGGGAATTCTGGCTGGAATACCATAGCTATGGGGAAGGAGCGCGACGCGGGGGAGGGATCTTTCACATTGCCCGGCTTTCATACGCTATCTGCTAGTTGCGGAGTCCGATCGCGCCCCGGTCGCTCGGCCGAGGAAACACGATCCGTTCAGTCGACCGCTGTGATGTTCAGAGTGCTGTGTGGAACACATGTTCGCTGGTGACCGTTGACGATCATGTGGTGCGTTCGGCGTGTTGTGTTATTTTTATAGGAATCTTCGGTTCCTTCAATGGTGAGTTTGCTAATTTTCCTACTTTTTTATTATTTATTAGTTCATTCAAATTTAAAAGTTGATTATTACATTCAAGTCTATTTGAAGTTAGTATTTTGTAACGTAAGAAACATTGTGTCTATGTACTGATAGAGTTTTATTCAAAAAGTTTTATAACTTTAATAATAATATCTAAATAAATACATTATTTTATTAAGTTTTTAAAACTATTAATCTTAGGGATGGCATATGCACATCTATAAAAATAAATTATCACGCCTAAGTATATTATAAGTTATTTAATTTTTTTTTCCTATTTATCTATTTCGTATAGAGACGTAGCAATAAATAAATCGAAGGATTAAAGCCAGTTGGCAAAATTAACTTAAAAAACTGACTTCAAAGAAAAAAAAACATTATCTCAACATATTTTTTCCCAGCTTCTCAAGTTGGCGGAATTAAAGTACCTTCTTAGGAACCATCCTTCTTTTTCAAGTGGGAGAAACATAATTACATAAGAAAAAACCTCGATGATTTGATTAATTGATCAAACGAAATTTTAATAAAAATATGATAAAAATTAGCGTCTGATATAAAATAATAATTAATAAATAATATAAATATACAAAAATTAATAAAAATAAAAATAATTATTTAAAATTAATTAATTATGTTTATTTTATTGATTACTGATAATAAAAAAATGTTTAATTTATTTATGTACATAAAAATAATATTGTAATTAAGGATAATTATTAATATGGTATTATTGAGCTAGCTTTTAATTTATGAAATTAGTGCCAACTTAAAAAAACCGAAATACTAAAATTAAAATTAATTAACTATAAAATTATTTAATTTACTTGCTGTGTAGTGGAGGCGTAAGATTCCTATCATGACTACCACCCCATATTATTCCGTAGGTTAGGTAGATGGGATAACAGTTGACAGTAGTAAAAAACTGCGATTACTAACCCAAGCGTTCCAACTATGGCAAAATCTAAGACATTCTATGGGCGATCAGCTAACTAGCCTTGGTCTTTTTGATCTATAGTAACGATGTGTGACTACCATGAAATATTAATGATCGTGATTTTAATTATTATTTTAAAACAATAATAATTATAACAACAAATTAAATAATTAGTGTATAAACGTAAATATATAAATAATATTTCTAAAACATATTTTTTAATTATTTTAAGCAAGCCTAATGTTACCTGTGTATTTCTAAATTTATTCAGTCTTTCTGCCATAACGGGATTAAAAAAGTCTGAATCTTCCTAAACATTTCTACATTTTAAAATAATTTTAGTATTGTGACGATATAGTTTAATATAAAATTATATTTCCGAATATGATATTAAAGCTTTAAAAGCCGAGGTAATTTGAGAATGTTTTCCGTTTCATTGATTCATTATTGAGCTTTAGTTAAGTGCAGCTGAAATTTATTCGCTACCAATCGTGTTTGAACCCTTTAAAATAGTTGAACGAATTTAACGCAATAGCACGATAATGCATTTGACTCTCATTAGTATTTTTGTGCGATACTAATATCATTATATTAAATATTTTTCATAAATTTCTTTGAAAGTGACTACAAGTATCTCATTTAAATTGTAACATTGTCGTAATATTATTTCTTCCCTAACTAATTATGGCAAGGAAACGACTTCAGGCTTCTAATAAGTGACCTCTTTTAGCACCACCACCCTGTAAGTAGACGGTCTGTTCAATGTTAGTGTTAGGTGTCGATGGATATAGTTGGTGTTTTTTTATAGAATAAACGTAACAAAGAAACACACAGGTGGATGGCACCTGATGGCAGGTGGATGCTTTGGCCCATAGCCGTTGAAATCTATTTTCAATGAAGAATCAAAATACAGATACGATGTCGCCTCTGAGGAGTAATTGCTTCATTTCTACTAAAAATCGTATCTAGATCTCTACGATGACCATACGAAACATAGCAACACTAAGCTGCTATTTACCGCTGGTATTCTATAAGAGCGAGAAAATCACTGGTTAGGTCGACTCATTGGTGCCATACTACGTAACAAGTGTTTCGTATTTTATTTTTATTTTTCCACTGTCTTATTTTTTCACTACCTCGACCAGCTGCATTTTATATACGATTGTCAAAAAATGCTTTCTGCATTATGTTTTCCATTTGTTCCTGTCCATTACGTAACGTTCGATTATGAGTCAGTCAATTATTAAACAGATAGAAACCGTGACTTGTGGGCTAACAATGCTGGAGGTTTTTGTTGAACTGAAGTTTTATGTTGTAACTGAAGATTTGATTCATTACTGAACTCCAAATACGAGAAACGCGTATATTCAACTCGTATGGTTTTTTATATTCAACCTTAGATTATTATTTCAGGGGGGGGGGGCGAACGAGCACACAGTTAACGTGATATTTTGAGAGGGTTTTGTAAGCCACCTACAACGAAATACTCTATTTTCGATTAAGAATTAAAATTCAGATGCGTCTAATGGAAATGTTCCGTTTTTTGGTTACGCGTATTGATTGGAAGTCTCTTAGTAGCCAAGCTAATAATATATATATATATATATATATATATATATATATATATATATAAATATATATATATATAAAAACATATAATTTAATATTTATTTTTTGTTTTAAATTTATGCGTAGTAGAATAACGCTGCGGCTATAATATCGTTGTAACACAAATGGTTCGGCTCAACCGGAGAAAAACGACGCCCTCACAGCTAGCCTAGCCTGCTGTTTTGTATGATGAGTGTAGCGAACCGGGAACTTTTCCTTACTGGAAACGAGCTTACCGATACGAGGCCGTCAACGTACGATCCTGAAGCTGAAGTGGCTTTTTTATAGAAAGAGAGTGACAAACAAGCACACAGTCCACCTGATGTTAAGTGGATACTGTAGCCTAAAGCCACCGTCATCTATCCTCGATTAATAAAATAAATATGTATTGTCAACTCTGAAGACTTTTGATCATCGGAATTATAACTTCGTAATCAAAAAATAAAGCGTTTTAATTTAATTTTCATCAATAAGCTGAAATGGCAATGGGCTATGCAGATCAAAGAACCGAAGGGATGGATATTCGTAAAAAGTTACGAGAGTATTGACCCATTATTAGCAAACGTAGTATTAGGTGTATTGAAATCTAATAGACACCCACCTAGACGATGCTAGTCTTAAGATGGAATGCCTTGTTTCTAGTAAAAGGGGTCTCTGGTTCTCTACACTCACTACACGAAACTCACAGAATTGAGCTGTTTTTTTACGCTGGTATTTGTGAGAGCATGTTCGTTCCCCGGTCAATCCAACCAATTCGTGTTATAACTGTAATGTAGCTGCAGAATGGCTCCACCATGTAAATAATCTTGGTTATACTTCAGCTTAATGATCTTTTTGACTACGTCGGTTAGTCTAAAATACTTCGCGACAATCTCGTAGACTCTGTAAACTATTATTTAAAAATCATATTAAAAACCATGTTAGTTTTAACAGCCTTTATACGTACCACTGTTAGGCATAGGTTTTCCTCGTTACTGAGAAGAAAAAAGAGAAAAGAAGAAGTAGTATATAGAAGTATATTGTAAAATAAATGACGGTATCATAATCATACATAAAACAAACACTATAAATAATCCGTTCAACAAACAGCCACAAAAGTCCACCGCTGAACATAGGCATCCCTAATGAGAATCCAAGGCTTAAATCTTCCCATGAGGCATTGTTGCCAGTCGCTTGGCAAGCGGGTTGGCAACCGTAGTTTCTTATTATTTTGAAATGTTAATTTTGGGATGATGTTGCTTATTCATTTTTCTTCCGTCGCCTCTTACGACAGCCTCGTGACGATATGGTGTAGTGAATATTCTTACGCCGCCACTACACGGTTACTATAAATAATAAAATTACGAGTATTTTAATAAATATAGTTATTTGAAAATTCTTATTCAAGCAACAACAATGCACAGCTTAACTGTAATCTAGAAGATTCTTATGTAATTATTGTACAACAAAACAAATACACAAACTATATTATGAGAAGGGCCAAGTGAGTTTAGCTTAAGTAACAAAGGATGTATGAAGGTAATCGATTTAGCAACAAAAGGCTTTATGGAGAAAACTTTTTTATGCGGTAATACACATTTTGAAACTACGGGTTGTGACTTGTAAAGGTTACGTACATCTGTAAAATAGTAGCATTATACTGCTGTTTTACTTATCACTAGTGATAAGAGGCGAAGACTAACTCAACTGCTGGGTAAAGGTATTATTTATCTTAGCCGTCATGGATGACAAAATGTCGTTATCTACAGGTTGGTTGAAAAGAAATTCCCCATCTTTATTTGGTTATAAGATTTTAATTTTTCACATTAATTTTTCAAACCATTAGGCAAATATAACTGGACAATGTGAGTTATAAAAAATATCAGAAATATTCAGAATCCAATATAAGCGCCTGCATTTTCTACCAGTTTATGAAAACTTCTTGCAATATCTGCTACGGACTTTTGTAGAAAGTGTTGAGGTACATTTGTTAGCACTTGCTGAATTCTTACTTCCAGTTCATCAAGAGTGCGAGCTTTTGATCAATAGACTTCATTCTTTGCCCAACCCCACAGGAAAAAATCGCAAGGCGTGAGGTCCGGGCTTCGAGCAGGCCATTCGTGTGGTCCGCGACGACCTAACCAATGCCCTGGGAAGCGGTCATCCAGCCACTGTCGATCATTCGATGCGTAGGGTAGTGGAGCTCCATCTTGCATAAATATCATATTTCCAATATTATTAAACGTAGACAAAGCTGGCCAGACTCTACTTTCATGTTGAGATAGCGCTGGGCTATGACGGATGACGGACGGACGGATGGGCCAATAACTGGATTTGATGTCATACCACACCAAACTGTTACCTTGGAACGGTTTTGCATTTTCTGAGCAGTAATTTTGGGGTCAAACTCTACCCAATAATGACAATTATGACGGTTAACAAAGCCACCAACATTAAAAAT